AATCCCTGCATTTACATGGATAAAGTCCTTCAGAGGGCGTAACGCGTCAGCTGAGATAAGTTTTCCTTTTGTTTTTATTCATATTGTCTTTTACAGATATACTCTGAAATTTCACACACACACACACACACACACACACACACACACACAAACATATGAAAAAAACATATATACAAAAAATATATATATTAAATTGTTTAGCTTCTTAATGAATCAAGTCTTAATCATTGCTCACCGTTGCCCTCAGCCCAACATCAACCCTTTTGATGTTATACAAGTCTTTATTCAGTATCTACTGGGAGAGCAGATCATGGAAAAAAAATTCTCGTTGCATCTTATGAAAACTTCTGCAAAATAGCTCTACACTCTCCTTATGCATGTTTTTTTTTCTCTATATATATTTCGGACGTGCAAACATTATATGCGCATGAGCAGGTCTACAGACATGCGCACAAAGAAAGGAGCAAATCACAAATGTTCCCACCGATGTTATGTTCGCGCCGCCATTTGCTCTTAAAAGCAAGCCATTGTCATCGTGATTCAATGGGTTGCCAAAGGCACCGAGTACGCATCGGGAGAATCTGAGTATGGATTTGCGTGAGCGAAAGATTAAAACGTGAGAAGGATTCTAATAATACATTTCCATATGCTTGTATCATCTTTGCAAAGATCTCAAAGCTTTTACATCCATCATTCTTTTCACGTCTTTATTTTCCATTTTCTTTGCTTTCCAGCCTCTCTTTCTGGATTAGTATCTTATTTTTTTTCATTTTCTGTTTTTCTTTTCTTTTAATTTCTTATTTTTCCTCCTCTCTTTTTCTTTCTTTTTGTTTTTCAATTATTTATTTCTTTTTTCTTTCTATTTCCATTTACTAGTTAATTCTTGATATTCTCATTCGTTTTTTTTTTCTCATATCATTTACTTTTTTCTCTCTCATTCTCTCATTTTTCTTTTTATTGTTCTTATCAAATGCTCATTTTTCTTTTTATATTTGTATTTTTTCTTTCGTTCTCTTCTTCTTCTTCTTCTTCTTCTTCTCATTTTTCGTTTTTTTTCTCATTCTTCTCTTTCGTTATTTTTTTTCTCATTTTCGTTCTTCCTTTGATTTTTTTTTTTGCCTTTTTCTCATCCTTCATTTCTTTTTTCCTTCTTTTCAAATTGTATTTTGTTCTTTTTCAGATTTTCCTTTTATATCTATTCTCAGTCTTTATTTTCTTCTTTCAATTATTATTCTTCATTTTCTTTTTTTTTTTATCATTCTTCATTTTATTCCGCTTCTCATTTTTCATTTTCTTACTGATATTCCCGTCATTCATTATTTTCTTCTACTTAATCTCATTCTTCATTTTATTCCACTTCTTATTTTCTTCTTCCTCTTCCCATTTTTTCATTCAGTTCTTATTCCTCTTTTTTCTTTTCCTATTTTCTCATTATTTTTCATTCACTTATCTTTATAATCTACTTTATCTTTTTCTTCTTTATTTTCCTTCATACTGATTAAAAAAAAAAATTTCATTGTTCTTTTTTAATTCTATTTCTCTTTTTTTCTTTTTTTCTTGATTCTAGTTTCTTTTCATTCAACTAATTCCCCATTTTCATTTTCTTCATTTTCCTTCATTTAATTCTTCTTTTGAGATTTTTTATTACAGTGTAACCCGGATATGAGAGACCCGGATATAAGAGAAACCCGCGTATAAGAGAGATTTTCTCTGGTTCCAAATTGGAGCCTGTGTTAATGTATATAAAATAGACCAAACCCGGATATAAGAGAAACCCGGATATAAGAGACTTCTTCTCCAGTCCCGACAACTCTCTTATATCCGGGTTACACTGTAATAATAAAAAAATAATGATGATGATGATGATGATAATAATGATGATGATGATGATAATACAGTGTAACCCGGATATAAGAGACCCGGATATAAGAGAAACCCGGGTATAAGAGAGATTTTCTCTGGTCCCAAATTGGAGCCTGTGTTAATGTATATAAAATAGACCAAACCCGGATATAAGAGAAACCCGGATATAAGAGACTTCTCCGGTCCCGACAACTCTCTTATATCCGGGTTACACTGTAATAATAAAAATAATGATGATGATGATGATGATAATAATGATGATGATGATAATACAGTGTAACCCGGATATAAGAGACCCGGATATAAGAGAAACCCGGATATAAGAGAGATTTTCTGGTCCCAAAGAGCCTGTGTTAATGTATATAAATAGACCAAACCCGGATATATCCCGGATATAAGAGACTTCTCCCGAAAAACTTTTTTTTATCCGGGTTTTCTGTAATAATAAAATAATGATGATGATGATGATGATAATAATAATGATGATGATGATTAATACAGTGTAACCCGGATATAAGAGACCCGGATATAAGAGAAACCCGGATATAAGAGACTTCGTCTCCAGTCCCGACAACTCTCTTATATCCGGGTTACACTGTACCGTTTTTTTCTCCTTTCTCGTTCTTCCCAAGTATTTTATTTTCTATTTTTTTCTTCGTCTTTCTATTTTTTTTTTTTCTTTTCATCTTTCACTTCCTTTTCATCGTCTGAACAAGCATCCAACAAGGAGGCACTAAACCAAAGATGCGTGGGGATACGGTTATTCTTGCATTTTCTTGGTTAGCAATGCCCGTAACCGATGGATAGAAATATTTGTTTCTAACACCAAAATAATTGATCCAACAATTTTATCATTATCATACACTTCAATGTGGCTTTTATCATCTTGCATTCCATTACTATTACCATTCAAAAATTATATACAATGCGTAATGGTGCAATTGTGGGAGTTGGCGCAGAATGTTAGTTTTTGCATTTAAAATGAATGGACAATGAGCGAACGTTATTTCGAAAGGTTTATTTTCTTTTTATGAATATAAATTTTATCCTTCTTGTGCGACAGAATTCTTAGCTCGCGCTACGTTGGAACACAGAGAGAAAGAGAGACATAGAGTCTCCTCCTTCTTTGCAGCAGTCAGTCGTCTTGATTCGTTCTTTGGTGGTTAAAGGAATGGACCAGCCTGACCTCCTATCTCTTGAAAGGGCAGAGAGAACTTACATAAAATCCCTCTATTCCTGACTTTATACTGAAGCCGGCAAATGGTGGAGGAGTGCGCTGAGTGCGTGTAGGATTGTTCTTCGATTTTGTACTGGGTATTTGAACTTTTGTTTTTGCTTATCCAAGTATCTGGTTTCAGAAAAAAGGTAACTGATTGACCTGTCCTTAAGAAGGCTGATGTTAATGTTAATGCAGTGTTAAGGAGATGATAAATAGGTGATATTTCTCAAGGGATTTAAGAAATATTTTCATTTTTATATATTTATTTTGTTTATTAAACTTTTCCTACTACTACAAAATAATGTTAGTCTATAGAGAAATTCACCCGCCACCACCTGCACAGCATAGGTTGGTGGTGTGATGATTAACAGCTTGAAACAGGATCCAAGTTCGAATTCTGGATCCAGTTCGTTGCATTTACTTTCACACGAGTAGTCTTAGGAGAGGTATGAAGCACGCTTATTTCTCTCGGCTATGGATTAAATAACACGACTCTCTATCCGTAGATGGCAACCAGTCTAGGAGAAGGAAAACCTCTGAATTCAAAACCGAATATAGCGAGGAAGTATAATACCCAGACATTGTGGAATTTGCAATGAGAGTATAGACCAGATTGGGGTTAATATGATAGGTGATGATAGAGGGAGAAATTTCAATGATTTTACAAAATAAAGCTGTTTGTGGCTTGTTAGTAAGTATCCAATCCTATCCTGCCTGTCTAGGATAGAATATCTTCTTCTATGAGCCGCGTTTCTTCAGGGTGTAGGCGATCATGGCTCTCCACAATTTCCTGTCCTTTGTAGCTCTTAATATATTTTTCTTTTGTTATTTCTCCTAAATGTGACCCTGTTATCCATTTACACAAGCTCGTTAGCTATGTTTTTCCCCTGCCTCTCTTGCCTTTAATCTGTTCTGTGAGTATCAAATTTTACAAGCCCTCTTTCCTCATTATGATCCCTAGAAATTTTAACTGTCTATTCTTGACGTTAAGTATCTCTTTTTTGTTTCCATTTTCACAAAAACTTCATCGTTGCTCACATATTTGGTCCATGGTATGCTCAGCATCCTTCTGTAGAGTAAGACTACCTTATGGTTTTCTCGTGAAGTGAAAGTTTATTTTTTAACATTTTTTTTTTTACCCCCGCTTGAACCATCCACTTTGCGAACCATTCTTTAAAATGGCGCCGGAAATGAAACAAATTTTTTTTTTTTTTTTTTTTTTTTGTTTCAGCCTCACCATTTTTGCACATTTATTTCGCTTCTGACTTCGCTAACACAACTGCCCATTCACCATAACATCTCATTTATGTTTCATTTTCTTTTCTTCCAATTTTATTCTCCGTTCTTCTTCTTCTTCTTCTTCTTCTTCTCTCTACATTCTCTTCTTTTCTTTACCTCCTTCTTCTTGTTCTTTTCTCGTTCACTTTCTCATCTCCGTCTTCTTCATTGTCTTTCCTCATTCACTTTCCCTTTTTTTCTCATTCGCCTCTTCTTTTTTTTCTTCTTCTTTTCTCAATCGCTCTCTTCCTTTCTCATCCACCTCTTCTTTTTCTTCCTCTTCTTCTCTTAATTCTTTTTTTTTCTCTTTTTTTTTTGTATATTTTTTCCTTTCTTCTCGTTTTTTCATTCGTCTCTATGTTTACTTCTCGCTCTTTTTCTCTTTATTCTTTGCTTCGCTAAAAATTATTAATCTTTTTGCTTTTTCAGTTATTCATTTTTTTTTTCCTTTTTCTTATGATTGTCATTCTAATTTTATCGTCTTCTATTTCAAATTATTTTTCTTCTTTTTCTCTGTTTTTTCTTTCTTGATTTCCTTCTTTTACTTCTAAATCTTTTTCTTTTCATTCTTTTATTTTGTGCAATTTATGTTTTTCTATCTTTGTTTTTTTTTTTTTTTTTACTTATTCATTTTCCTCTCATGATTTTCATTCTTTTGTCTTCCTTCAAATTCCCTCACGTACTTTTTTCAAAATCTTTATTTTTTTTCTTTTTCTTTTTTGTTATTTTTCTTCTCTATGCTAATCATTCTTCTACATTCTCCATTTTCCTTTTTCGTTCATTTTTTCTGTATGTTACTTATTTTCTGCTCATTTTACTTTTTTATTCTTTATTTCTGTTTCATTCGTTTCTTCTCATTATTTTCATTCTTTTTTTTTCGTCTTTTTCACTCGCATTTTTTCTTTTTTGTTTTCTTTATTTTTTTTCTCATTTTCCTTCTTTTTTGTTCTGTTCTTTTCTTCTCTTCGTTCTTTACATTCTTCTTCTTCTTCTTCTTCTTCTTCTTCTTCTTCTTCTTCTTCTTCGCGCCAAACTTTCTTTCATCTTCCCTTTTTTGATTATGCTGTTTTTTCTGATTCCAATTTCGGTGGCACGCAAAATGCGAAACATGAACAGAAAAAAAAAAAAGTAAAAAAAAAAGAAGAATGAAAAAAAAAAGAAGAAAGAAAAGAAAAAGAACAACCAAGATTTCGATTATTTCCACCGAGGAAAAAGCCTTTATTTCTTCATCTATTTTAACCATATTTTTCTAGCTGGAACTTCTGCAAACCAAATGGCATCAGGCAGCTCCAGAACTCAGGCACCATTCTCAATTCAACTTTTCTTTGGAAATTCTATTTCTTTGGGATAGTTCCCAGTTTTCAAATTTTTGTTAGCACAACTGTCAGTTTCATATTGCATAGTTTCAGAACTTCGGTGATTACTTAGTATTTATTATTATTATTATTATTATTATTATTATTATTTGTATCAAATGAGTTAATAGTATATGGTAGCTTTCACTGGAAACCAAGCGATAACACCTCTTAATATCTTAGTCCTCTTAGTTGATTTTAGTAATATCGCCATTCGTTTACTTTCAAATCTCATATTATTATTATTATTATTATTATTATTATTATTATTACTACTACTATATTTTGATTTCTGATTATGGTCAAGCTATCTACCAATTCTGCGTGAAGACCTAAGGCAGGTAGTGGTGTTTTGTTGAGGCTACATTTCTGGATTTGTTTTTCTAATTCTCATAACACCACTAGCGTTACACGGACAAAGTTCTTCTTGGTGTGTGGGCTGTACTTATCAAGAGATTTTTTGTATTTTTCTTAAGCTGGGAATTCTAGGGTTTTTTTTTTCAATGTGTTGTTGTGTTCCTTTTTTTATCATTCCAAGCGCACCTACTATGACTGGTTCCTTGATTGCTATATTGCAACCCTCTGGGCAAGCCATATTAATTAGAAGGCAAGTTTTTTTTTTCTTTTCGGTTTTTGCCCATTATGTCCGGCCTATTTGCTTCAATTTTCCTGTTTTTTTGTGATGTGTTCTATTTCTGTAGCCGATGCTGGATGATGTTCATACTAGAACATCCTGACATTACATGGTCTATGGTTTCCTGATATTTGTCACAGAACCCGGCTTTTGGATTCATCCTATTATGTATGATAGTTGTCTGAAAGTTCCTAGTGAAAAGACTCTGGTCTTGCGCTGCAAGAATAAAGCCTTCCGTTTCCATTATTATTATTATTATTATTATTATTATTATTATTTGTATGTTATGTTTCCCGCTTTTTATCCTGTAGAGCCGGGTCGAAACTATGCTCCTTAGGTCCTATAGGATAATTTTCATTTAATCGATAGCACTTTTCTTAGTATATGGGATGCTCCTAGTAGGGCGATCTTCTGGGCAAGTTATCTGTTGATGTTACTTGGAACACTGTTAGTAAAATTGTCCATTCCTTTTCTCACGAGGCCCAGAGCTCTGATTACTATTGGTACGACAGTCTCAGTCTTCATTCCCCACATCCTGTTAATCTCGATCTCCAGGTCCTTGTATTTAGACAATTTCTAGATAATTTTATGGTGGTGTTTCTCTCAGAGGGTACTGCTATGTTAATAAGCATAGACTTACTGAATTTCTTGTCTTTTATGATAATATCTGGTCTGTTGGCTTTTATTTCTCTGTCAGTTTGAATTGGCATGTCCCAGAGGATAGTTACATCGTTATATTGGGTAACTGTGTCTGGTTGGTACTCATACCATCTCTCAGTGGTTTTGATTTTGCGCTTGTTGCATATCTTTCAGTGCATATATGTCTCTAGCTTGTTATGTATGTGGGTATATTCATTTTCTTTTGCTAGTTCTGGACATCCAGAGATAATATGGTCGACAGTTTCTTCATATTTTCCGCAGATCCTGCATTTCGGTTTAGTTCCATCCTTGATAGTGATAGGATTTGGTTGCAAGGTCTTGATTCTGAGCCGCAGTAATTAGGCCTTTAATTATTATTATTATTATTATTATTATTATTATTATCTCATTTTCTTGCATTTAGGGTATTCTACACCGTCTCAATTAATGTTTAAATATAAGTTAATTTATGCATGCAAAGCGGGCTACAACCAGCAGCTTTCGGTATCACGTAATATTCCCCTGGTTCATCACTTTCCAGATTCTTCTTATCGTTAGCAAAAGGTTTCTTTTCTGTAACAGTTCCACTGGGCAATCAATGCCAATTTTCTTTAGCCTGGTCTCTATTCTGTCAGTCACCAATGGCATCTGTCATGATCGTGACTTTGTTCAACTCCTAAAGCCTTGCATGTTCAATAGGCCATAGCTAATTACTGTCTGTTTCTCTTTTGCTCGAACCCTGTATCAAAAGGACAAGATGGATCAATGATTAAGTTTTCTTTTTCTATTTTATCTTTCACCAATATATCCGGTTTCTTGTGCTCAAGCATTTTTGTTGTTGTCTGTATTGAGAAATCCAACATAATCTTTAATGTTTCTGATTCAAGGACTTTCTCAAGCATTATCCTTGTACGATTCTTTTTCTTGTTGAAAACCCGACTTCTCGCCCAATTTCCAATGTCTGATTTTGGTTATTTGATTATTTCTGTTATATATACCTATCCTTCGGGGCCCCAACCAGAGAACTAAAGTCAGAAATGTCTTCATGACATTTTCCACTTATCATTTTTTGTAAGCCCCCACCGCAAAAAATAAGATCACACACATTTTACATAGATAAAGCTCTTCATAATGTGTGAGCTGTTCTTGTAAGTAAAATATTTTGTATTTCTTTAAGTCTTGAGCTACCAGGAATCCATTCAATGTGTCTATCGGAATCTTTGCCAATCAATCCGAGTTCTCCAATTATAACTGGAATTACTGTTGTCCTCGTGTGCCATATTTTTGAGTTCAAGAAAATTGTATTTTGATACTTTTTTGAGGATATTTGAAGATACATTACAATCTACAAGAAGTGCCATGTCAATAAGAAAGTACATTCTTTTTTTGTGGTCTTTGATCACGATGTCTGGGCGATTAGCTTTGATTGTTCAGTCTGTGTGTATTGTTACAGGTCCTATCTCTGTAACGTAACCGGGGCTGGGTGGTGTTCATACCAGTTTCTTCAAGTTTCCTTTTCGTAAAAGTTGCATATTTTCCAGTGCAGATATTGGCCCACGCTATCATGCCGAGTTTTAAATTCAGTGGATGCCAGCACTGTGTAACCTGATACAAGATAGCCAATTGCTTCTGGATATTTATTACAGAATCTGTATTTCGGGTAAACACCATTTTTCAGTATGTGTACTTAGTAACTTTTAGCTAGCAAGTATTGGTTCTGTGCAGCAAGAATAAAACCTTCGATTTCAGCTTTTAACACTGCACTACGTAACCACTGGGGTTGTCTAGATCAGCTTGTTTGATATAGGCAGAGTATTTACCATGAAGAGGCTTATCTTGCCATCGTTTTGCATTTGATACATTGCATTTGCTTTTGTTTTCATTTTTAGGTTCTTTGCCGCTGCAGGAGATGTATTGTGGCTTAATTTCACTTCATCACCTACCTGAAATTCCCTTCTGAATTTGTTGGCTTCCTTTATTACGGAATAAAGTGCCTTATTTCGTTCATGTTCTTTGACACAGATCATCACCCAGTCTGCTGTAGTTTCCAGGTGTCTTTGAAGACCGATTGTTGTGATTTTGTAAGACAGTTCTAGTTGAACTAATCCTCTGCCTCCTTCGGATCTGAGCACATACAGACAATGAACATCTAAGGATGATGCATGCTGTGGCAAGTGAGGAGCTTTCTCGTTTTGACATCCATTCGCTTAATGTCAGTTATGGTCCAATTAAGGATGCTGAAAGTGTATTGCACCACAGGGACAGCCAAAGTGTTTATGGCTGACATTTTTTTTTTATGAATTCAACTCGGTATTTAATAGTAGACGCACACGCCTGTAGTATTCTTTTCTTACTTTCTCCTTCAATTCATCATGCTCTATCCCATCTCCTTCGCTGACTCCTAGGTATTTATAGGTTTCTTCTTGTTCCAGTTCCTTAATCTTTTTGACAAAATCTAGATCTATGGTATGTGTTTCTATAATTCTCTCTTTCTTGAATATTACTTTTGCACACTTATCTAATTCGAAATCCATATCGATGTCCCGTCCTGGATAAGACGTTAAGGGCAAGACGATAGGGTAAGACGATAAACTATGTCCGATAGCAAGGCCTCTGATCATGAGGCTTTGAGGAGCGTTGAACCTCCTCTTAATTGCTTATTTTCCCAGGTTCGCTTTGACCCAGGATGGTAGCACCTGTTAGGGTCCCAGCTATGGGCAAATAGTTAACCCCGAAACTGAGGTAAAAAAAAAACTTTATAAAAGTGTAAAAATAGGTTTTAATACCAGAAATACTTTGTAAAAAATTATTACCAGAAATAATTTTTTGAAGAAAAAAAAATATTACCAGCAATACGTTTTTGAAAAAAACAAACAATTACCAGCAATACGTTTTTGAAAAAATATTACCAACTATACGTTTTTTGAAAAAAATAATATTATCGATTATACGTTTTTGAAAAATAATATTACAAGCTATACATTTTTGAGGAAAAAAATATTAACAGAAATAGATTTTTGACAAAACAAAAATATTCCCAGAAAAAAGAGTTGTCGGCATTAAATGACCCATTGAGGTTGATATGCCGTAAAACAAAATAAACCAAACCATATCGATGTCATCACTGAAACATTTTACAGTATTAAAGATACTCTTCAACCCATTATCGTCTTTGGCAAAGAGTTTGATATCATCCATATAGAATAGATGATTAAGCACTTTTTTGTTTTGTATCCATAATTATTACAAGCGAAATTGGGACTAAGGACAGACAGAACAGAAAGTTGATAAGGAGTCTCTTTGAAAGATTCTTCGTCGGATATTCAAACAATTACAAGTGATAGTACCTTTGGTGTGATTTAGTTATCATGTGGTTTTCCACAGTTCCATGCTATATTTAAGGAAATTTACTATCTCTGAGGAGACGTACATTTCCAAAGCCTTAAGGATCAAAGAGTGTGGCACACTATCAAAGGCTTTACGGTATCTATCCAAGCTGTACTGAGATTTTTACCTTTTTTCCCTGGAATTTTCCAGGATCATTTCTTTTATTAGTAGTTGATCTTTGCAACCATATGAACCGCTTGAACATCCCTTCTGTTCCAAGGGAAGAATGTTGTTTTCATCGAGAAAAGACTAAGTACAATTCGTCAAGGAAGACGTGATTAATTTATTTGTGGTGAACAGACATGTTATTGGCCTATAATTTTTTAATCATCCGTTTCATCGGTTTTTGGTAGGAGATATGTAGTACCTTCAATGATTCATTCTGTAATTTCATTGGGGGTTATTAATTAGCATTGATAAAGTTTGCGAAAGAGTTTTATAGATTGATGACAGATAATAAAGCCAAAAATTGGATACCTTGTCATTTTCTGTGATTTTCCATTTTGAGGATTTTGTTAGAGTTTACTTGCTTGGTTATATTTTTTAATTCTTGCACAGGTTTATCCTTCATTCTTTCTTGTTCTCGTTTGATCTACTCTTCATTGGGATTAGATTTCTTTGGGTTGCTCCAAATATTCTCCCAAAATGTTTGCACTTCTTCAATAGATGGTGGATTTTTGACTTCTATGAATGCTTTTCCAATTTCCCTGAAAAACCTCTTGAGGTCCATTTGAAATGTCTTATTTTGTCGATAGAACCTACACATTTTTCATATTGTATTATTATTATTATTATTATTATTATTATTATTATCTCTGAAGTGCTGAAAGAAAGATATTTCAGCGACTTCAAACGAATCATCCCCAACAACAACAGTAGAGATGGCAGTGAATCTTCGCTGACGATCAAAGTCTTTTCTAAATCCTCAGATTTCCTGTGAACCAACTACTAAAAGTATTTTATAAACCCAGATTAACCAAAGACATTGACTCAACTAATGACTATTTTCACTCCTTTTTGACTCTTTTGAATTCATATATATATATATATGTATGTAAATACAAATGAATTATTTAACAGGCATGAAACCATGTTTACTTTATTTTTATTTTATTATAGTTTGGAATTTGGACATTCGGATTTTTAATATAAAAAAAACATCGGCACGACCAAATTTCTTACAAGGCGATAGGGCAGCGGTTGTGGGGCTAGATTCCGTAAAAAATATTTTTGTCTTGAAATGGCATCGTACGAATGACTTCCTTTGACAGGAAACTCCATCGCAATTGATCAAGTGTGTGAAAATCAATATTGAATAAATAGTTGATTGCTTGATCGAAAATTCAAATAAGAATACCAAACAACTGGTAAACATTTGTAAAATGCTTTTCTTTTATTAGTTTTTTAAGCAAACGGTGATAATCCCGTGCGGTAATTCTTGAGCAAAAAAAAAAAAAAAAAAATGTCCAATATAAAAGCAGACGTAAAATCTTAAACAGATAGAGCCATTTCGTCTGCGATATTTCAGCAAAGGAAAAAGTGAGAGATAAAGGAAGAAGAAACGTGACTTTTCATAAAGAAGAAGTTAATTAACCGAACGCCTGAAGCAGGTCCTTTAAAAACCAAAAATCAACTCCAAAATCAGCGAAACGGGACTAAAAAAAACAAAAAAAAAAAACTTCAAAAACTAAAGTAACCGGAATTTACTTTTTCTTCAGTTAAGGAAGCCACTCTTTCTAATTCTCTGTCTTTATTTCTCTATTTCTGAAGAGAAAAAAAATAAAAATAAATACTTGAATGAATTAATAAAATCAATAAGCAAGTAAATTAAATAAAAGAAACTCAAATCTCCAAATAGAATGTTTTACACATTTACTTTGTGGTTTAGAGAAACAAAATACAACCTTTAACTCTCTTCTCTTAACCTGCATAACTTAATCTGTTAACCATCCTTACCTCTACCTTTTCTTCCTTTCACTTTTGACAAGATTTTAATGGAAGGAATAGTGACGAAAGAAGCAAATACCGAAAGATGACAAGAAGATTTGAAACGATGTGATAAATCTTTTTTTGCCTTTGGCTTGTTCTACTTAGTGGTTCGTTTGGTTTTTTTTTTTTTTTTTTTAAAAAAAAAAAAGAAGTCATTGAAATGAAAACGCGGCATCCTGGGGTTAGTTTTGACCTCCAACATGTCTTGCTGCTTAATTTTCTTGTAGCTAGAGATAGAAATTTCTCATTTGCGCGTACTATAGTTGGAGAAAGAAAGGAAAAAAAAAAAGGCAAGAAAAGCTCGTATTACGTTCTTATCTATTCTGCTTCCCTGATTTTATTTAAATATTTCCACTGATGGATCCATCCATTCCTTTCTAATTATCTCCCTTTATTTCTCTTTCTTTTATTTAATTTTCTTCCTTCTCATTACGTTTTTTCTTCTCTCAGCAACATTTATTTAATTATGTGTCCTAGACTTTGGTTTAAATTTCATCATTGGTTCTGTCGAACCTCCTGTTTTTTGAAAATTGGCCATCTATCTATCTATCTATCTATCTATCTATCTATCTATCTATCAGTCTTTTCTGTTCACCACGTATTCCAGTTGTAAGGAAAAAGTTCCACTTATGTACCTTTTTTCCCTAAGACCGCTACAATTTTAACCGCTACATGTCAAGATTCAATCATTACCTATTCACCATATCCTCATAATCTTCAATTCCTACTCTTATATTCGTAACATTTACCTCATTCAGTAACCCTCTATTATGAGTGGCTCTTGAGCCTTGACTTTGGTAAAGATTAAGTAAAAAAATAAACATTATTAGTTTAAAGAGTTTTCTTCTGAGCATGAAACGTGTTACTTTGGAGTATTTTCTTCCTATTTGTCATTCGATTACCCACTATCTATCTATCTATCTATCTATCTATCTATCTATCTATCTATCTATCTATCTATCTATCTATCTATCACTCTTAATGTTTTAATGTATATCTGTCTTATCTAGCATAAGAGCTCAAAATTATTACTGCTGCGTGAATTTTTGCCAATACTAAATTACGATTAGTAAATAACAGTGCATCGTAATTGTTAACTAACTAGTCTAGCGGGCCATTACTATTGAGTAGTGAGTCTGATCATGACTGCTTACCTCATTATTGTGGCCTTGTGCCAAATCTAGGCCTAGTAAATGGAGTCACTTTTTGATAAAATTTACTCAGGCAGTTGTCCGGAACAATCATAATTTTGCTTAACTCTAAAAAACAAGGACAGAAGAAGACAATCTGTGACAAGGACACACGAGATGACAATCTGTGACAAGGACACACAAGAAGGCAATCTGTGACAAGGACACACAAGAAGACTATCTGTGACAAGGACACACGAGAAGACAATCTGTGAGAAGGACACACGAGAAGACAATCTGTGACAAGGACACACAAGAAGACAATCTGTGACAAGGAGACACGAGAAGATTATCTGTGACAAGGACACACAAGAAGAAAATCTGTGACAAGGACACACGAGAAGATTATCTGTGACAAGGACAGACAAGAAGACAATCTGTGACAAGGACACACAAGAAGACTATCTGTGACAATTACACACGACATTATGGGACTAGGACACGCAAAAACATTACGTGGCAAAGACACACAATAATACAATATGAGACACACAAGCAGATGTTATGGGACAAGTAAATATCCTGGGATAAGGTTACCTAAAAAATCATTTGTAACAAGGATGCACAAGGAAATAACCTGTGATAAAGGAACAAACGAAAGAAATCTAAGACAAGGATGCACAAAAAGATATGGGACAAGGACACACAATGAAAAATCTTGGACAAGGATACACAATGAATAATCTTGGACAAGGACACAAGGTGTCAATCTGAATTAACGACGTACAAGAAAATAATATGAGAAAGGACACACAAGAAAATATCTAGGAACAAGGACACACAAGGAAATACTTTTGGGCAGGGGGGCACAATAAAACAATCTGGGATGAGATCAAGTCCTGACAGCTGACAATATTAGAAAGCTTTAGAGTCATAACATTGTGAACGAGGAATTTTCAATATTTTTTCAGCCATCACATCATCATAATCACCAGCAACAGCAGCATAAGCGACCAAATTACTATTAAAATTTCTACTGCTATTTCTGCTACTACTACAAATATCATCATCAACATCATCATTATCACTAATATCGATTTTCGACTATTGATATATACAGAACAAGCTTAAAATCCAGACTTACAAAACTAAAAAATGCTATCAACGCTACAGTGGTAATCACCCAGAATTTTCATTCTTGTCAAATTGTTTACGTCTAAATTTCGTCGTTCGTGTTAAAAAGTCACATTTCAGATGACATATTTCCATTCAAGTGATGGAGCACCTATCAAAATAACTTGTAATATCTTTCTATTTATCTAACACAATTTTCTTCTCTTCCTCTCTCTTTCTTTCTAGGCCTATTCTTTCTCTCTGTCGCAACATGTTCCTCTTTCTCTATATACTTTTTAGCCTATCTATCTATCTATCTATCTATCTATCTATCTATCTATCTATTATTTATCTATCTATCTATCTATCTATCTATCTATCTATCTATCTATCTATGTTAGCCTATTTCTCCTATCTATTTCAACCTGTGTACCTTCTCTCTCTTCCCCCTCTCTCTCTGTCTGTCTGTCTCTCTCTCTCTCTCTCTCTCTCTCTCTATATATATATATATATATATATATGCCTTTTTATCTCTATCTCAGCATACTTTATGTATCACAGTTTGTCGCATTCTATTTCTCTTTAAGCCTATTTGTTTATCTCTCTCTCTCTCCCTCACACACACACATATACATACATACATACATACATATATATATATATATATATATATATATATATATATATATATATATATATATATATATATATATACATAAAACACTGGATATATATATATATATTCTATATATATATATATATATATATATATATATATAACTATTTCTTTGCTTCTATCTATCTAAGCTACATTATTCTCTCTTCCTCCATTCTTGTCTGTCCTTTTATGTCTCCTCGAACTATATTTGTCTTTTAAACTATATCCCTTCCATTTCATTCCTTTTCCCTTTCATTATTTCCCACTTTGGCCGCATTTTTATTCCATTCTTGTTACGCCTCCATTAAAACAGTCTTTCCATTCACTCTTCTACTATTTCGAAGCCTCTTTTTTCACTTCTCCTTCTCTTCCCGCCTTTTTTTTTATCAACTCATCTCGCCTCGCGGCTGTCCACCGATAGCGATAAACCTTCATTTATTGGTTCCAAATACTCTGAGATATCTCAGCACTTTACTGTGACGAGGAGAAATTGAACGCAGTTTTCAAAATGGCGACAAGCAAACAAACATTACCGTTTATTCTCGAATTTAGCACCTGTCAAGGCTGGCAAAGGGTGCAATAGCTTTTTACTTTTTTTTTGTTGCTTCAGAGATAGTTATGTGAAAATGTATTCATGACTCACTAAATTACGCACTAAAGTAAACACATTTTAATATTTATTTAGGGGCCCGTGAGTTTCCTAAAAAATCGGTAGAAAATTTTAACCATTTTGAAATAAATTAGTTCAATGCATAAATAGATTAAATGTATAATAATATTGATAATTTTATATGTATGGTTAAAAAAGTAATTGAGATACAGAAACAGCAAAGTAAAATGGCGTAATTTAAAGTTGGCGAATAAAGAGAAGGTTTTAAAGTGAAATGAATGTTCTTTTTATATGTTTGGTCTTAAATAAAAGCTCTGCGTATACACGAGAGAGAGAGAGAGAGAGGAGAGAGAGGGAGAGAGAGAGGGAGAGAGAGAGGGAGAGAGAGGAGAGAGAGGGAGAGAGAGGAGAGAGAGAGTTTATATACAGTGGGGAAATAAATATTCATGGGGAAATAAACACTCGAAAAATTGTATTTTTTATAAATGTAAAAAGCCTTAAATAAAACAAATATCAGCACATTTTATGTATAAAGACACATACTATTAAAAAATAATAATAAACTTAATTAATTCTTATTCTAACAGAAATTAATGCATTTTTTAAATTCTAACTGGTGAAAAAAGTATTCGTACATATCAATTATTAGAATAAAATAATCAATTAATTATGAAAAAAGTATATTCTAGAATGTTCCAGTAATGTTATCAGCAATTATAGTTAACGCTATTAGCCCTTATCAGAGCATTCTGCAATTTCTAGTCTTACGAGAAGGTTCTAATAATGCCTAAAGGTAAAGAATTGACTATTTCACAAAAACAACACATTTTGTCTCTTTGGAAAGATGGGAACAGTTACAGAACGATTTCTAACAACCTGAATATTCCTTTTACTACAATTGCTTCGTTCATTGCAAGGTTTAAAACTCGTAACATCGTCGAAAACCAAAGATGAACAGGTGCTCCGAGGAAGATTTCTTTAAGATCAGCAAGGGCATTAGGACACCAGATGCAACAAAATCCACAGGTTACCCGAAAAGAGCTGCAGGAACATCTGTGTGCATTAGGGATTAAAGTAACCAAGCGTGCAATAAGTAATGAACTACACAAAAACAGTCTGAAATCACGCATCCCCAGGAAGACTCCACTCCTCTTAAAATGACACAGAGATGCTAGGCTAAAATTCGTTAGAGAGCATAAGGATAAAGAATATTCGTTTTGGGAAAAAGTACTATGGACAGATGAAACTAAAATAGAGTTGTTTGGTCATAATTATCGAAATCATGTGTGGAGGAAGGACGGTGAAGCCTACTTACCAAAGAACATGTTGCCAACTGTAAAGTTTGATGGTGGCAGTATCATGATCTGGGGCTGTTTTTCTGCAAAAGGTGTTGGCAGAGAATATCAATAATAGATGGCAAGATGAATGCCGAAAGATACCAGAAAATCCTGCAAGACAATTTAATGCTTTCTGTTGAGAGGCTTCGGCTACCTCCTGATTGGGTTTTCCAACTGGATAATGATCATATGCATAACGCTAGATCTACAAGGAAATGGTTAGCTGAAAGTAACGTTGATGTCTTGCAATGGCCAAGTCAGTCCCCAGACTTGAACCCAATCGAGAATTTATGGCGATACTTGAAAATTCAGATTTGGAAAAGAGCACCAACAAATATCAAGAATTTGAGGACAATATGCCAAGAAGAATGGGTAAAATACTACTCAATGTGTGCAAATCATTAGTTGAGACGTACAGGAATAGACTGGTAGCTGTTGAATTCAATAAATGATATTCCAGAAAGTATTAAATTAAGTTAATGTGCTTTTTTTGTTTTGTACGAATATCTTTATACATAAAATGTGCCGATATTTGTTTTAGTTAAGGCTTTTACATTTATAAAAATACAATTTTTCATGTGTATGAATATTTATTCGCCCCCCCCCCCAATGTATGCACAGAGAAATAGAGAAGAATTCGTTGAACGTTCAGCTGTGTTCTTAGGCGTACGCTTGTCGGCAAAAGTGGGTTGACGATTGAAGACAGTTACTTTGAAGTTGCCGATAGCGAAAGTGGTATCCTTCCGAAGCGCGTACATCTACCGACTTTTGAGTTGCCGACATTATTTGTATTTCCTTTTTAGAGTCTCCGAGCTTAGGTTTTTGAACAAAATAGAACGATTCAATTTCGTCTATTATTCTTCCTCTTGTCGTATGGTTTTATATTACGTCCGCGCGGAACGGATTCGGTGGCAATGATTTTGGAATTTACAAAATCGACGGCACGAGCGTTATTTCTTGCATGGGAATATGTATGCGTCTCCGACTGCAGACCATTTACAAGCACAGGCCCTCAGCTGGAGATGACTAAATAAATGTTAAGCAGGGATGAGCAGCCACAGCCTAAATTCGAGCTCAGTTTCCTAAATTTTTTTTTTTTTTTTGCTAACTACCATATTTTCTTGTGTATCATACGGCTTGAGTATAATACAGCCCCGTCTTTTTGAAACTAAAAACAGGGAATGAATGACATCCTTGAGAATATTACGACCCCATGTTTCTGGAGCTAAAAACAGAGACTGTCACTCTATTCATCCATGTTTAGAATATTGCTGCCATATCTGGTCTTGGTGCTCCCGCTGTATATTTCGAAATTCTTGATAAAATCTAAAGAAGAATCCGCAATATTATTAGCTTCTGACCTGGCATCTCGACTTCAGTCACTTTCTAATTGTCGTAACGTAGCTTCCTTGTGCTTTTTTTTTTTATAAATACTTCCATGGTAACTGTTCCGATGAACTCTTCGCTATGTTATCTTGACTTTATGAATTTAAGCGCAGTACTAGATTGGCAGCAAGGTCTCATGAATTTACAGTGGAATAAGCTAGATGTAGCCGTAAGTTCTATGCTAACAGTTTTTTTTCTCGCACTTCTTGTTTGTGGAACGCTCTTCCGACTCCATGCTTTCCAGCCAACTTTGATTTTCAAAAATTTAAATGTCAACGTCAATCGTTATCTACTGTCTCGATTACTCTTTTATTCTTCTCGCTCCCTAATATTTCTCTTTTTTTTTTTTTTTTCTTGTTCTTCCCCAGTCAGTAACACCTTCTGACCCTTAGCAGATTCACTGCCTTACCCGAACCCGAAAGAAAAATATATGAACAATTTGAAAAGAAGATACGAGAAACACAATGAAAACTCGAAATGGGAGACGCTTTAATGACATCAGCAAACGATATCATCCCAAAGGAGAAGGAACGAAGAAGAAAAAACGAATGGATGACTGATGAGATTCTCGACATGATGCAAAGGAGACAGAAAACTCTGCCAAAATACGGAACGGAATACAGAAAATTACACAATGAAATAAGGACCAAATGCAGGCAAGCTAAAGAAGAGTGGCTAAACAAAAAAAATGTGCAGAAATAGAGAGATAGATTACCACCAACAAAGGAGATATGCACAAACAAATAAAGCAACTAACAGGACTGAAGACATGCTCGTCAACAGGCTGAATAAAAATCAAAGGATGAAACACTAATATTAGAGAAGGAAAAAATTCTTCAATGTTGGGACAAATATATTGGAGATCTCTTCCACGATGAAAGAGAACAACCAACAATACGGATCTGATATTCTGAAAACCGAAGTAGAAGCTGCACTGGCCAAATTGAACAGAAACAAGGCGGCAGGACCAGACGGATTTGTAACGGAAATGCTGACAGACTTAGATGACTTTAGCATAGACAAGATCACAAAAATAATAAAGGAAATCTACAACAGTGGGGATATAGCGAAAGATCTATCTTCATAGCATTGCCTAAGAAACCAGGCGCAAACGAATGTGAACTCCACCGAACAATCAGCCTAATGAGTCAAGTAACAAAACTCACCATCCGTATTCTGATGAATAAAGCGCGCAACAGAATAAGGCCAGAGATAGGACAACAACAGTGCGGGTTCGTTAAAGACACCGGAACAAGGAACGCGATATTCTTGCTCAGAATATTATCAGGGAGAGCAATACAAATGCAGATGGACGTGTACCTATGTTTCATAGACTACGCAACGGCCTTCGTCGAAGTACGCTACAAGGATCTGTTGGAACTGATTAGAAACCTTGATATATTCGGGAAAGATATCAGAATAATCAAGAACCTATACTGGCAGCAAACAGTATGCATGCGCATAGAGAACGAGTTCAGCGAATATACAAAAATAGAAAGGGATGTAAGGCAAGGATGTGTCTTCTTACCGGACCTATTCAATCTATACAGCAAGACAATTCTGAGAGAATTGGAAATCCTACCGGGATTCAGCATCGGCAGCCACAATCTTAACAAAATAAGATACACAGATGACACAGTACTGATAACAGAGACGAAAAAGAAATTACAAAACCTCCTATAGAAGGTAGCGAAGGAGAGCGAGAAGAAGGGACTAAGCATGAGCGACAAGAAGACAATGCATGGTCATCAGTAAGAGGATGAGCCCGAAATGCGATTTGCAGGTCGGGGACACTAGAATCAAGCAGACTCTGAAGTTTAAATATCTGGGAAGTGGTTTGACAAAGGACGGCAAGTGCGACGCTGGGGATCCGTAGACGTATTGGGATGGCCAAGGACACATTCCAAAATCTGGAGTATTGCGAGACAGGAGGATCTCTTTGGTAAGAAAGAAAAGAATACTGAGCTGTTACATGACATCTGTCCTCCTTTACGGCAGCGAATTTTGGACGATTTCCTCGAAGATGATCAAGAGACTCGAGGCGATGGAGATATGGTTCTACAAAAGGATGCTGAGGATATCATGGAC